AAAAAAAAAAAAAATCTCTCTCATGTTTTCTTCTAAATGTTTTATAATTTTAGGTTTTACATTTAGGTCTATGATGCATTTTAAATTGATTTTTGCATAACGGAGCGAGGTATAAAAGAAGATTCATTTTTTTACACATGGATATCCAATTTTTCCAGAACCCTCTGTTGAAAAAACTCTCCTGGCCAGGCGCATTGGCTCATGCCTGTAATCCCAGTACTTTGGGAGGCCAAGGCAGGAGAATTGCTTAAGTCCAGTAGTTCAAGACCAGCCTGGGGAACATAGCTGGAGTGCAATGGCATGATCTCGGCTCACTGCAACCTCCGCCTCCCGGATTTAAGCAATTCTCCTGCCTCAGCCTCTGAAGTAGCTGGGATTATAGGCATGCACCACCATGCCTGGCTAATTTTGTCTTTTTAGTAGAGACAGGGTTTCCATGTTGGTAAGGCTGGTCTGGAAATCCCAGCAATTTGGAAGGCCAGAGGTGGGCGGATCACTTGAGGCCAGGGGTTAGAGAACAGCCTGGCCAACACAGAGAAACCCTGTCTTTACTAAAAATACAAAAAAATTAGCCCGGTATGGTGGAACATGCCTATAATTCCAGCTACTCGGGAAGCTGAAGTACAAGAATCACTTGAACCAGGGAGACAGATTGCAGTAAGCCAAGATTGTGCCACTGCATTACAGCCTGGGTGACAGAGCAAGACTCTATCTCAAAAAATACATATATATTAATTTTTACCTTTAAAAAAAGGCCTACTGTGATTTTAATTAGGATTGCATTAAAACTATATGTCAAGTTAAGGAGGCTTGATATCCTAGCATGGATTCATGGGTCACTGAGTCTTCTAACCCATGAACAAGGTTAATCTCTGCATTTACTTAGATCTTTTAAATTTTTTCAGCAATGTTTCAGAGTTTGCAACATACAGGTCTTTCACAACTTTGGTCAGATTTATTCCTAAGTACTTAATAATTTAGATGCTATTGCAAATGTCATCATTTCATTTTTAATTCAATTTCCAATTATTCATTGCTACTATACAGAAATACAATTGATTTTTACATATTGATCTTACATAATGGAATCCTGCTAAAGTCACTTATAAGTTTAGAGCATTTTTGTAGGTTCCATCAGACCTTCTACATAATGTATCTGTGAATAAAGACAATTTTTACTTCTTTCTCTCCATTGTAGATGCTTTTTTTTTTTTTTGAGACGGAGTTTCACTCTTGTTACCCAGGCTGGAGTGCAATGGTGCGATCTCGGCTCACCGCAACCTCCGCCTCCTGGGTTCAGGCAATTCTCCTGCCTCAGCCTCCTGAGTAGCTGGGATTACAGGCACGCACCACCATGCCCAGCTGATTTTTTGTAGTTTTAGTAGAGACGGGGTTTCACCATGTTGACCAGGATGGTCTCGATCTCTTGACCTCATGATCCACCCGCCTCGGCCTCCCAAAGTGCTGGGATTACAGGCTTGAGCCACCGCGCCCGGCTTGTAGATGCTTTTTATTTCTTTTTCTTGCCTTATTGCACTGGCTAGAGCATCCAGTACAGTGTTCAGGATAAATGGTAACCAAAGATATCCAAATGACCAATATACAAATATGTTCATCACTGGTCACAGCAGCACTATTCACAACAGCCAAGAGGTGAAAAGAAACCAAGTAACCATCAACAGGTGAATGGATAAACAAAATGTAATATAAACATGCAATGGAATATTACTCACCCTTCAAAAACGAACGTAGTGCTGACATATGTTACAAAATGGATAAAGCTTGAAGGAATTATGCTAAATGAAATAAGCCAGTCACAAAAAGACAAATACTAGATGATTCCACTTGTGTGAGTTACCAAC